CACTTTTCCACAATGAAGCAAATTTGTGGGAATGTTCCAAGGAAGCTACAGCCCGAGAGATGGCAGTTGTGGCAAGAGACTGTTCGAGACGTCTACAGGTTTTCTTTTCCTTCAAACATGCAACTATTTAAAATACCCAATCACCATAACTAATTTATCGTGTTGCATGCTGCACCTAAACAGAAGTTGTCGTCAGAGGAACGCAAAAAGATTTTGCTAGATATTGCTGATGCTCTGGAAGCAAATGAGGATGCAATTAGGTCTGAAAATGAAGCCGATGTTGAGGCAGCACAAGCTGCTGGTTATGAAAAGTCGTTGGTTGCTAGGATGACCCTAAAGCCAGGAAAGGTAGTTCTCTGTTTCTCACAACCTAGTTTTTTCTGTTCATTGTCCTCTTAATTTTATTAATGTTTGATTGATATATTTCTGTAGATAACAAACCTTGCAAGATCCATTCGTGCCATTGCTGACATGGAGGACCCTATTTCCCATACATTGAAAAGAACAGAGGTGATTGCTATGGATCACATTTTGATATGTCTCATAGGGGAGAGATACATGCTGTGATGTGGTTTACTAAGCTTATAGTAAGTTCCTGCAGTTCCTAGTTTTTAACCAATCAAGGATTCCTTTTGCAGGTTGCTAAAGATCTGGTTTTTGAGAAAGCATATTGCCCATTGGGTGTTCTGCTCATTATTTTTGAGTCTCGTCCTGATGCATTGGTCCAGGTAACCTTTGATTCAGAAGCGAAGTAGTACATATACAATATCTACAAGATCAATAATCAATTGTGGTTGATATATTATTGTACAGATTGCATCTCTGGCAATCCGAAGTGGTAATGGTCTTCTTTTGAAAGGAGGAAAAGAAGCTATGAGATCAAACGCAATATTACACAAGGTAGTATGGAACTAGCTTTCTTGATCTAATAGTATGTAACAATATGTTTCTTTGCTTACATGAGCTGTGTTTTTCCCCTTTAGGTCATAACTGGGGTTATTCCAGATATTGTTGGTAAAAAGCTCATAGGCCATGTGACTAGCAAAGATGAAATTGCTGATTTGCTAGCGGTAAGTATGTAATGTAATTCTTTCAATGGTAATTAAGTGCATAAGTAAGTCTAAACTCTAAAACTTTGCAGCTTGATGATGTGATTGATCTTGTCATTCCTAGAGGCAGTAAGAATCTAGTCTCCCAAATCAAAGCAACAACTAAGATTCCAGTTCTAGGTCATGCTGGTAAGCTGTTTTTTTAACAGTTTCAGTAAAAATATGGTCATGTTAATTCTTAAGTTAGTACCTGTAATTCTCTGGTTTTAGCAGTACTTAATTATGTTTTCCAATTCTGTTCAGATGGTATCTGCCATGTTTACATTGACAAATCAGCCGACATGGATATGGCAAAACGGATAGTATTGGACGCTAAGGTTGATTATCCAGCAGCATGCAATGCAATGGTATATCTCTAATTTAGTAGCTAATTGATGTCATGGTACATGTCTCATTTAGTACACTCTGGTGAGCACAAGATCTTCAAAGGCCATGTTCCTTCACTAGACTAGTTTATTAATTTATTATTTCCCAATAGTCACTTTCCTGAGAAAGTAGTTCACAGCCTCACTAATATAATCTTTCTTGTTGAGTTGAAACCTTGCCTTTGCGTTTACGTAGTTGTCTACATTTTGGTCTACTCCTTTTTACAATTTCCCCCTTTGAAACATATCATAATATTTGATTTTTTTATGGCCTTTTCTTATAACATATTTACTAAAGAACTTTTTATTATTATTTATTAATTTATTGAAAACATTTGTTTTTTGAATTTACTTGTATATCTTCAAATGCAACAAACCATGCGGCCACCTAAATGGACTCTTAAAGTTATGTATGATGAAGTTGAATTATCTACCTCATAACAATTAATTTAAAGAGTTTTTTTATCATTTTATTTAGGAGAACTAATTTTATTGAACCTATTGGTTTATTTTAGAATTTAATACAGGTTATGTTATTTCTTTGTGCAGGAAACACTACTTGTTCATAAAGATCTTAACAAGAGTGAGGGCCTTGATGATCTATTAGTGGAACTTGAAAAGGAAGGTCAGAACTCAAAATCTATTTGTCTTTCATTTGTTTAGTAACTGGTGGATAAAAAGTGACTTTTGCACACTAGTGAATACTGAATAGTTACAATCACCGCATCTTTACTTTGAGTTTCATATTGCAGGAGTAGTTATTTATGGTGGGCCTGTTGCACATGACAAATTGAAAGTACCAAAGGTAGATTCATTTCGTCATGAGTATAGCTCAATGGCATGCACTCTCGAATTTGTTGATGATGTGCAGTCAGCCATCGATCACATAAATCGTTATGGAAGGTAAGGAAGTTTTACTTTTAAGCGTATTATGTCTACAATAGGCTACTTTTGACCAAAATTTGGTTTCTTTTCAGTGCACACACAGACTGCATTATCACAACTGATGAAAGTGCTGCGGAGGCTTTTCTGCAGCAAGTCGATAGGTACTGAAACCTTTTTTCCGCCATTCTTGTGGTTGAACTTTGTTATGGAAGTATTATTTGTTACTGATTTGTTTGATTATACTACTGGCCTATGATGATTTTGGATCTAATGACATGACATTTCTGTTGACTGCAACAGTGCCGCCGTGTTTCATAATGCAAGCACAAGGTTCTGTGACGGGACGCGCTTTGGGCTAGGTGCAGAGGTACTTCCTTTGGTCATCTGTTTTCTGTACATTTTTCTTATTCTTGTCACTTTATACCATGAACAGTTTGGGTTTTGATGTGAAGATCATTTGTTTGAATTCCTTGCACTATCCACCATTGATTTGCTTGAAGCCTTGATGGATGATGGCATGAATCATTTATTAAGTTAATAAATATGTTTTGTGCTTGAAGCCTTAACGAACCAATGAAGTGTTAGTAGTTTGAATGTCTATTGAATGTTCAAAATGTACCTTTTAGTAGAAGCATAGTGAGGTATAAATGAAACTGCTGAGAGAACAATAGTGAGGTCAAATTGAACCATGGACTGGTGTTACTTGGAATGTTCAGGAAAGTACATACAGCATGTAATTTACTTAGGTATACTTTGTTCTACAGGCAACAATGCCTTCATAGTCATTTTATATTATAATAGATGTCAAATTGGTGTAATCTAAAACTTTTAGCTGCCCAATACTAAAATGTTTTCAGTTACGGTATTGGCACTTAACTTCAAATACCTTCTTATCGAATCTTTTCGAATGGTTTGCGAAGGTTGGCATAAGTACAGGGCGCATACATGCCCGCGGACCTGTTGGAGTTGATGGACTTCTAACTACTCGCTGGTACATTTTTTATCACTTGAAAATGTGTTCTATGTTTGGTATTTCTCATTTCCTCTTCATCACCTCATGACAGATTCCCTCTGCTCTGATTCTTTATTTGTCCGTGGGGAAGATCCCACTTTTGCTCACACAATTATTATGTTCATGTCATACTTATGATCTTTTTCACCACATGTAGCATTTTACGCGGTAGTGGACAAGTGGTGAATGGTGACAAGGGAGTGGTTTACACCCACAAGGATCTTCCTTTGTAATGAGGCAAGTAATGGTTCACACTTGACACTGCTTGAAAAGAATGCTCTACCATTGTTACTGACTTCTCACGTCTTTGTTGCAGGCAAAGAACCTTTGTTGTAGAACAATTGCTCGTAACGAATGGCTGAACTCCCTTTTAAGTACCATTTTCTTTATTCCATGCAACAAAGATAGGTGTCGTAACAAGCAGAAGGAACTGATACTTTCTCGGCGGTGCCTATTTATTAGACAATGGTGTATTCAGACCATTTCGGTACGAGGCTTGTAAGCTGTGTTTGTCGCCATTTCGGTACGAGGCTTGTAAGCTGTGTTTGTCGTTGTGTTCTTGTCGTATAAGCCCTAGAACTTCCGAGACATCTGTATTAGAGGCGTTTTAGCTGGTTGATATGCGATGGTTTTGGATGAAACTTGAATCTGTTCCCATGCAATGATGATGCATGTGTGATGAGATCCTAAAAATATGTAATGGTGTGTAATTTTATCTCCTGCTTGGTAGTAGGAGGTGTTGGTTCATGTGGGAATTGTGATTGGCTCAAGGAATCGTCTTGCAAAACGAGGTTGTTGCCCTGGTTGATCTTCGACGCAAAAACAGACATATATAAACATCAATTGCATTAAAAATTCATCAGTCACTAACACAAAATTTTACAGAGAACCAGCCCTTACCTCTGATCTCGCAATCCACGATGTTCAAAACGCAGGGATCAGTGGTTACACAATGAACAGTTCATGATCTGCACCTTTCAAAACGCAGGGATCAGTGGTTACGCAATGGACAGTAAAAAAGAACTGTCCAAATGATCTGCACCTTTATATCACAGGCACAGCAGATCAGTTTGCATATGCAAGAATCGGAGATGTTCATGCACTGTGGCACAAGCGTGACATGGACGGTGTTATCCAAATCAACGGTGATCTCACCCTACCTCTCCTACAGCTTAGCTTGTCCACGGATCAATGACGGGGGCTCTGCCATTACCACCACCATAGTTAGAATTACAACCATCACGTGAACGGACAAGGCCATTCAATAGGGGTGCCTCCAAATTGTCATCGCTTATACTCACGTCTCTTCCCATGTATAAATATGTAATATCAAACAATCAAACAAGACCAATAAAGCAATTAATCATTTATTCTCATTCTTGTCTCTATCTCTTTACATTTAAACATGGGGCATCTTCACAAGCGTGTCAAAATTGTTTGTCAGGTATGAGTTCCACTTTTCTCCGGACTCGGTAATCAATGTGAGGCCCCTCCTGAAAATCTATCACCATGCCTAGTCTAATGAAATATGTTAGGCTGTACATAATGGTTTGAAGAAACAACAGCTTCTACTTCTTCAGTAATCATCCAGTATAATCAGTAAAGGTAACTAAAGAGTTTGCAGCATCTTCACCAATAATCCCTGCATGAGCAAACTCCATCCCTGAAGTGGTGAAATCGATTCACGTCCCTCACGACAATCTCCCGATCTGTGAATTTGGAGATGAACTTGGTGACTGAATGACAGTCCTCACAAAGCCTGAGGTTCTTTGTGATCCTGATAACCTCTCCACTGCCAGTGTTGATAAGCCCGAAAGCAACAGCCAACTTCTCACTGTGGCCAAGCAAAATCCTCTCCTTCTCCTCTTCTTCAATATCATACAGAACTGATCTTGTGTCAGGGACATATCCCTCATTTTTCATCTGTGTCACAAACTCACCAATCAATGCTTGCAGCTCCTCCAACTGTGGGATCTTGTTGTCAACTGAACCAAATGAGTACAACTTCTTCTTCACCTCTATCCAGCTATAGCCTGGCACCTTCTCTAGTGCATGCTCCTCAAGTAACTCCTTTAGTACATCAACTTGGTTCTGCAACTTAGCTCGGGCATAAATATCTGCCAGGAGAACATAGTTTCCAGCATTTCGGGGCTCAAGATCGAAGAGATGGGAGCATGCCATCTCAGCATACTCAACATGGCCATGAATTCTGCAAGCTCCAAGAAGTGAGCCCCAAACTTGAGGGCTTGGTTGAATGCGCATGCTCTGTATCAGCTCCACAGCTTCAACCAGGCGCCCAGCCCGACCAAGAAGGTCAACCATGCAAGCATAGTGCTCAGCATGAGGTGTGACATTGTACTCCACCATTGATTCAAATAGCTTCTTTCCCTGCTCCACAAGTCCAGCATGGCTACAAGCCCCAAGGACGCTGATAAATGTGATGATACTTGGTGAAATGCCTTCCTCAATCATCTCCTCAAACACCTGGATTGACTCACGACCAAAGCCATGCATTCCGTATCCTGATATAAGTGAATTCCATGACACAACATTCCTTCTGCGCCCTATCCAATTGAAGATGTAGCGACCGATCTCAAGGCAACCACATTTCATGTACATTGCCATCAACGCATTCAGCACTGAAACAAGTGAGTCAAAACCCCTCCGAAGGATATATGCATGCAGTACTTTGCCCTGACCGAGTGCATTTACCCCAGCACAGGCATGCAAGACGCTAACAATTGTGATCGAGTTTGGTACCAGGTCTGCATCAGAAGCCATCATCTCCTGAAAGATCTGAATCGCATCACCAGGACGCTCATTCTTGGCATAGCACCCAATCATGGCACTCCATGACACAAGATTCCTATCAGGCATTGAAGTGAACACATGCTCAGCAAAGCTGACCATCCCAAGCTTCGCGTAGCAGTCAATAAGAGTGGTGGCAACATGCGTGTGTAATCCATAGCCGCGACGGATGGCATGAGCGTGCATCTCCCGTACACGGGCAGAGGCCGGCGTGTGCAAAGCTGATGCTGCAATGCAGGCCTTAAGACCGTGCGCATAGCTGTAGCTGTCGATGGGGACACCGAGCCGGCCCATGTCAGAAAGGCACGCGAGAGCCTCCTCTCCATGGTCGGCGAGCGCAAGCGCCTTGAGCATCGCGTTCCACACGAAGATGTTCTTCACAGGCGCCTCGTCGAACACCTGGCGCGCGGCCGGGAGCGCGCTGAGCGCAGCATAGGCGTCGATGAGGCGGGTCGACAGGAAGGGGTCCGAGCAGAACACCGGGTCCGCCTCGAGCCTGCGGTGCACGGCCGCGGCGAGCGCGGTGTCCCCCGCCCGCGCGGCCGCGAGCAGGAGCGACTCGTAGGTGCGCTGCGTTGGCGCGGGGAGCCCCTGCAAGAGCGCCGCGGCCCGGGCGAGGCGCCCGTGGGCGCAGAGCGTTTGTATGAGGTGGTCCTCGTTCTCCGGCGAAGCGCCCGACGACGCCGGCGCGAGCGACGCGAGGCACCTGAGGCGCGTCAGCCTCGGTCGCCTGGGCCCGAACGGGCGGTGGGGGAGGTGGAGGAGGGAGGTGTGCGGGGAGGCAGTGGCGGACATGGGGATGGGGGCGGGGCGGCGGCGGCGGCGGCGGAGGAAGGCGAGAAGGGGCGTCACCGTGAGGCGGCGCGGGAGAGGGAGATATTTCGGGTGGGTTGGGTCGGACGTCGGAGCTCGGACGGCAGCTGGAAGCCTGGAAAAGTGGAAAGCAGCGGCGAGGCGGGACTGTGAATGGGCAGCGCCGCGCGGAGACGGCGAAGATTACGGATTTTTGCCGGATTTTGGTGGCTTGGCAGAGTCGTGGGCTCGTTTTCTGGAGCGGCCTGGCGTGTTGGTTGGGCTTGTCAGTGGGCTAACATAGCTTGCCCATTTTTGCAGTTGTAGATGGACAACCCAAAACGACACTGCTTTGCTCTAGATTGAAACTGGAAATGTCTCTATGGCATCACAACCAGCAGAAAGGAAGTTTCAAAAAAAAACAGCAGAAATGAAGAGACAAGCAACCGGTATAAGGGCATGTTTGGTAGGGCTTCTCTCCGCCTTCGGCTCTGGCTCCTCCCGAGGAGCCCTGCCAAACATTTTTTCCGAAGGAGTCTCTCAGGAGGAGCCGTGCCAAACACCTCCTAAATATATAATGCAAGACGGTTATATGCTTAAGGACTAAGGAGAGAGAATCTTGTCATGTCACTAAATATCAGCATAGAAAGTAGTATCTACAATGCCAAGATGTGCTTAAATTGACATAATATACTTAATCTAAGTTAGCAGGGTCGTCAATTTAAGTATCAGGTGCTAAAGATATGGTAAACAATTGCTAAGAACTTTTGCTTAGCAATCCCATTGTTGTGCATGCTCGTAGGCTGGAAAATTGCGTCCATGGCCCATGAGGTGAAGAGGCTGTTTGGTTTGCAGTCACACTCCGCCACGCCATAGATATGGCGAGCCACAGAAATTGGACCTTGTGTTTCGTTGGTGACGTAAATGAGGCTGCCATAGAAACACGCAGAACAAATCCCGTCACAAAACGTGACGTCAAAAAAACATCGCCGCAGATGCGGCGCGCCACAGCCTGCCGCGCTTTGGGCGTGGTCGACAGTGGCCGGTATTCAAACACCCTCAAATGTCTTCAAGAGTGTCGTTTCTCAAGTTCTGTTAACCTTGGAAAACCCAAATTTCTGCGTCCTCTGTTGGGCCTTGTTTAGATTGGGGTTAGGAATCAATATTTGGTACTGTAGCATTTTCGTTTGTATTTAATAATTATTGTCCAATCATGGCCTAACTAGGCTCAAAAGATTCGTCTCGTAATTTACAATCAAACTATGTAATTAGTTGTTTTTTTTATCTATATTTAATACTTCATATATGTGTTCAAAAATTTGATGTGACGAAGAGAATGAAAAATTTGCAATTCCCTGCCATTTGGAAACCTCATTCTGGCCGTGAATTTCCCGTTCGGACATTCTTCAATCAAGCGACTACTCCTAGAAAGCCGAGTGCAGCAGGCTACGTACTCCTACGTACGAGGCTACCCGGCGATGTGCCGACGACAGAGCCGGATTAGCTCAGCATTGGTCGACACCTGAAAAGAGCACGAAGCCACAACAAAGCCCGATGTCCCCAGCGGCAGTCCGCACTAAGTCGAGGGGCGTGCGTGATGGGAAAGCGATGGTGCCGCTGGATGCTCTTGCTCTCCGTGTCATTTCCAAGGAAAGCCGCCAATTATTCTATGCTGCAAAACAGTATGAGCCTGTCATTTCCGAGACAAAAGCAGGTGATGTGCCAGTGCCAGTGGCGGGTAGTGGTATAGCAGCTGCGGCCGCGGCAGAGAGAGCATCGGCAGCTGCACCACTGGCTTGTTTGCAATTGGACCGGATTGGCCGAGACCGGGGATGGATGCCATGCCAGACAAACCAAACCGAGCGGGCATTTTTAAAGCCATTCCAAATCCAAACAGCAACGCAACGGGGATCGGATCACCCAGATCTTAGCGTGGAAACAGCATATGCTTAACGAGAATCAGGCAGGCCATTGGATTACGGCGAGCCCCACTTGGGCGAGCTCTCGCTTTTTATCATGTGCTTGTGTGGGCTGCCCGTGCCCACGCTGCCTATGGTGTCGGTGTCTGGCTGGAGGCTCCCGGTCGGAGATACTCCTACGTGCAAAGAAAAAAGTAATTATGGGGGACAGACAAAGCCTTGCTTAAGCAAATGGTGAGCCAGAGAGCTGGAAAGATAACCCTATCACTAATCCACCAATCAACTCATGCCGTAACTCCAGTTTCATGATAATCTAACTGATGCGCTGAACCTTTCTTTTCTGGAGTATCTTTCGAGCTGTTCGGTTGATAGTTTTGCGGCTGATAAGCAAGCTGATGTTGTTTTGTTGTGAGAGAAAAGCATTGTACCATGGCTGAAAAGTTCAAGCGAACAGGGCTACGGGAAGGAGTGAACTAATGTCACTGTTACCGCAATAACAACATTCACGGTAAACTAGGCCCGTGTCTAGTTAAAGGTCAAGGTTGGATGGGAACATCCTGTCCATAAATTTAGGGATATGGCTGTCCAAAATATTGTTGGTAATATTCAAAAGAAACAATCATACGTGATTGTGTGTTATTAGTTAGATCCATAAGTATACGCCACTAAAATACATTGTACTGGTAAGCAGAGGTTATCTCCTTTAAAAAAATGTTGATACATTAGTGTCCTAATGAGCCTCTAGGTTAGAAGCCCATTAGTAAGGTCTATAGTATGAAGCTGGGGGTTAAGAAAGAGATATACTCGTCCTCCCCTACACTCTAGCCTCCTCCCCCCCTCCTCCCTCCCTCTCTCCCTCGTGCATCGCGTGCTAGCTAGCACACCTGTGTATGGCGTTGGCGTTCTCTCTCCACACGTGCGGAAACTGTGGAGATGTCATTGTTGTTGCTACGGTGTTGATTGGCAACAAACACGAGGCGGACAGACAAGGTGACTGGTCGTGTTGCTGCTACGGGGCACGAGGACATGCGCCTACTTCCACTACACCTCAACTCGATCGGAATGACCCAACTAACCCGCAAACTTGGTCGAAAACGACCCAACTAGCAACTTAACTACCCAACTAGCAACTTAACTACACTAACAACTGGCTAAAAACTGAAGCTACTAAGAGCACCACTCGACAAACTGTCGAGCACCAACATGGTTGAGCAAAAGCGGAATGACAGAGCGGGAGAAGCCTAACGAAGCCTTCAGGAAAGAAACGACACCAAAGGCACCGACGACGCTAGCCCAACATGGGAAGGTTTTCACTTGCAAACACCAGGAAGGCAGAAGACGCGGTATGAAGAGGATGCCTCTAAGGAGGAAGCGGCATCCGCAGACGTCGTTGTTCCTTCAATTTAGAGATACAAATGTTACTATTATTTATAGTGTATAATTAGTATCATTAGATGAGTCGCTAAAATATTTTTATAATAAACTTATTTAAAGATATAAATGTTATTAATATTTTCTACGAATCTAGTCAAAACTTTTTTAAAAATTAACCAATACATTTTTATAGAGACAGTATAGCACGGAGGAAATACAGGGTAAGCTGAAAGGACATTTGCACACCCATCTCCCAACCTGACGCGTTGAAAAGGACACGAAGAGAGGGTCCATGACCCAGTACATTTTTATGAACAGTACACCGTAGCTTGCTACAGCAGTTCCTTCGATTTCTTTGAGAGGGTCCTGGGCTCATGGCAGCCGTCGCTGACGTGCATGGATTCCTTCCAAGCAATCGTGTGCATGGAGCCAGCCACAATGCCTAGCTCCAGATACAATTCTATATTGGCCAAAATCACAAGTGTCTCGTGGATCTTGGAGAGAACTACATAAACCAAAGATAGAAGCTATAGGTACAAATAGGCTAACACCAAGGTCTCATCCAAGACTCCTAAGGAGAGAATCAGGCTAGAAAGTCTTATTACACCAAATTGTTATATAACAAGAATCAATGGGTTCCAAAGGATCTAATATGGTTGTGAGAGAGCAACACTTGTACTCCAACATCGTCATCTAGGAGTTTTTCTGAAATTTATCTTGGTATGGCGTAACTTTGTGTCATACTCACAATATTCTTTCAAAGATCCGAGGATTGCTGCGCATAACTAAGGATATTAGATTAACAAAACTAAGAACCAAAATTAGGTCCCATTGGAATGTAGAATGTTTTCTGGTGTTCAATACCTTTTTTATAAAATTAAATTGATTCATACTAAATTTCAACATTTTTTTATAAAATGGTTGTGTTCTAAAAGAAAACTTCGATGGAAATAAAATCGCTACTCCCTCCGTTTCAAAATAGATGATTTTATAGGGTTTAAATTTTATTTGTGGTACTTCCCGATACACATTTCTCTTCTCTCAATACATATTTTTTCTTCTCCTAGTATATCTCTATTTTAATTTCTCTCTCTCTCTCTCCTTGTTTTCTATGCATCATACTTTTTCACTTCTAAATTCTCATGTCCATAAACGTCAAATATTATGGGATTGGGTGAGTACAAGATTTCTATGAGATTTTGGGTTTTAAAAGGAATCTTGCTATGACACATGACAGGCAGCATGGTTGCTTTGTTCAAGACCAAGACAAAGCAGTATCCATCAGATCTTTGCCATTTGAGGTGCTGTTAGTTGCAATAATTTAACCCATTGATCAGGAGGCAAGCCAATCATAAGCTGACAGACCCAACATAGTTTGTTAACGTCACAGACCGGGCTACTAAACGTTAACAAGTGGGCAAATCATACTTTTGTCCAAGCTTTAGGAGGCTACCCCATACAAGGATACAAGATGCACCCAAATGTCTGCATGCTTACTAGCTTAATATACACAAAAGGCTACCAAATCAAAACTGAAACACCAAGGCCGGTTGGTCATGTTCTACGGCTAGGGGGACAAGTAAAAGCTTCAGCATAGACAGTAGTACTGCAGTAGCAGCATCCCCACTTTTGATCATAAACAGGAGCTACCAGATTTTTTTTTTCATTGGGAATATCTGTATTTAGAAACACTTTGACTTCACTGTGCTTAAGGAGACAATATATTCATCTTAGTTAGGAGTAAATCTCAATTCAGACCAAACAAGTGTGAACTCGGGAAGGTAACCTCCTGATCTCTATTAGCCCAGGAAGTCAAATAGCATTTGACAGCACATCGGGCAAACAAGGACTCGCCAATTCAGCAATGTTTTTTTCTCCATTCTCCAAAGAAATTGATTCCAACTGATCAAGCCAAAGCCACCAAGTGATACACTTATATACCATTCTAACATACTAGTAGTGGTACAAATACATGCTTGTGCACCATCAGCAAGCTGAGCTCAGCTCAGCTGACCATAAGCAACAATGGCGGCAGCAGCCTTGTCAGCCAACAAAATCATGAACCAAATGGCCACCGATCTCCTTGCCGAAATGCCGGTCCTGGTTTCCGAAAGAGCCCATCATGTAGGGGTCGCTGATCTCCTCCAGCCCGAAGCGGTGAGCAAGGTTGGGAGGGAGGGACGCCGGGAGCGGCTCGGCCATGCAGACTCTGTTATTCTGGTGGAGACCAAGGGTGAGGGAGACGCCACCGGTGCCTGTACCACCAATGCTGCTCATTGGCCCTGCCTGCTGGTGGTGCTGTGATGAAGCGAGGCTGTGGTGTGGCGTCGACAGCCGATTGTATGCAAAGGTTACCTGTCTCTGCTGAATAGAGTGGGACATCTCGGAGAGCTCATCTGCAAAGCCCTGGGACGCAGGGATGTTGTGGTTCCTAGTGATGCTGCTGCTTTGGCCGAGCTGAGAGTCGGAAGGATCAGAGGGCTTTCCACTGCTCTCGGACGAATGCTGGGTTTGGTGATGCAACGCGTGCTGGCCCTTGTCGAGAACAGGGTGTTTGTGCACCTGTCTCATCTCGAGGTTGTGGATTTCTTCCACCATTGGCTTCCAAAGACGAACCCTTGCATTAATAAACCAGTTTGATACCTGGACAAGTGTTACATAGGCCATTAGAAAGTTTCAAAGACAAAATACAAGAGATCCACCAAACCTAGTTGAAACTAGTACACAACAATCACTGTAACAAATAAAACATGAGCACCTTGTCTATACCAAAATACAAGTAACATGGCTATTTACCTGGTTCCGTGTTAAACCCGTCTGTTTAGCAAGCATTTGCTTGTCTCCATCAGTTGGATATCTGGATAATTGAACAATCAAAGTGTGACTGATACAGTATTATTGGAGCTCGTTAAAAGGTAAATTAGTAATCAGTTGTCAACAAAGGTGTACAAAAACAACACGCAAATTGACAATGTACAAGAAACTAAAATGAAACCACCCGAAGATTAGATCATTACATCAAAGACAATCGTTGTGGTCAAGGGCTTCTCATTGCTACATTACTTCCAGGATTGAGCAATGTGATATGTCGAAGCTGACAAAAGGTAGCACTGATTGATATGGGATCTGAACAAAGGGCAAAATTGACTAACGGTGGATGGGAAAACTTTTTCGGCCATAGGCCAGGAAAGACTGGAGGGCGGGCCTGGTGCAAGCGACCCGAAAGATTCCGGGTTCGAGTCGCGGTCTCCTCGCATTGCACAGGCGAGGGTAAGGCTTGCCACTGACACCCTTCCCCAGACCCCGCACAGAGCGGCGACAAGCTTCTGGCATTCTCTATGACAAGAGGATACCACAAAAGATAAAAGGCAAGTTTTATAGAACGGCGATTAGACCAGCTATGTTGTATGGAGAAGAATGTTGGCCTACAAAGATTCAACATGTTCAACAACTAAGTGTTGCAGAAATGCGTATGTTGCGATGGATTTGTGGTCACACAAGAATGGACCGAGTTCAGAACAATGATATACATGATCGCCTAGGGGTAGCACCAATTGAAGAAAAGCTTATCCAACATCAGTTGAGGTGGTTGGGCCATGTCCAAAGGAGACCTCCAGAGGCAACAGTGCATTGTGGAGTCCTAAGCCAAGCTAATAATACGAGGAGAGGTAGAGGAAGACCAAAATTGACATGGGAGAAGGCAATAAAAAGATATTTGAAAGCTTAGGATATACCTAGAGATCTATGTTTGAATGAGTGCTTGGAAAACAGCTATTGAAGTGCCTGAACCGTGACTTGAGGCTCTTGGTGGGTTTCAACTCTAGCCTACCCTAACTTGCTTGGAACTGAAAGGCTATGTTGTTGTTGTTGTTGGTTGATACATAATTTCAACTTTTAGATCATACATCATGTGAAACGATTGTACTATGAAAACTAGACTTAAATCTGCAGATCAAACTGATAAATCATAGTGTCTAGCATAGGTTGGTACTCTATTAATTTGGCTGCAAGTAACCCTCACTTTCAAGTAATGTATGATTGCGATACCATACCCATCAGAAATAGGGTCCGTTACCAAACTAAAGAACAAGACGCCTTAGGATGCTTCGAAGTCATGAGTACTATCTAACAAAGATTGCAGCAGCGGCCTTAGATCCACTAAATTGGTCACTCCAGCATATTTATGATGCGGACAGCTAAAAATGCAGCTCACGCACAGGTATAAAGACTGACGGTCCATCATGTTACAAACTCCATCGTAATGATTTGGAAGCCATGCATTCTATCACGCAAGTTCAACACAATGATTCGGACAAACAGGAATGCTTGCTGTGGTATCAGCAAAACATCTAATCCCATACTCTCCATGCATGTATCAAATCACATATCATCGTTTTAGAATGCATCATGGCACCATGTTCAACAAACAGCAACTCATCATGAACGGTCAAGTTGACAGGTCTCCAATACCCCATCAGCCATCTAAAATAGATATTGAGCTCTAATCCCAACCATCAATAAAACTAGTAATTGGCGAGCAACGCAAAACTAATCGTCCTTTTAGCCATGATCGTCTTGAAACAAGGCGCAGGGTACAGTATGTAATCATGTCCTAATGGCATTTGCATTTAACGAACAGTTAAAACCGGCAAGGCGACTTACGGGTGCAGGAAGTGTTCGAAGAGCCAAGCCCGGAGGACAGACACTGCGCGCTCCGGCAGCCCTCTCTGTGGCCGCCAGATGTTGTGCGGCTGGCCGTGGCCGAAGGCAGCTACGCTGCTAGCTCTCTGGAGGGCGGCCGCGCTGCCGCCAGCAAGCCCGAACATGACGATGTCCTTGCTGAGGCCCTCCTTGCCGGCAGCGGCCTTGGTGGTGTTGCGCAGCTGGCTCAGTATCATGCTCTTCAGGCACTTGAAGTGCTTCGCCATGGCTCTCAGCGCCATCGCCGCGAACGGGGCTGCGTTGCTGAACCCGGCGACGGTCTCGAACGAGTTGATCACCGTCTGAACCTGCTGGTAGTACAGCCGATACCTCTTGCAAACCTAGAAAAAAAAAAGGTATTCTTAATTATTGGAATCACAACTTAGTCGAGAGGTTGAATCATCTACATTAGTAAGCAAAGAAGAAACTCTATGTTAGGAAAAGGGAGCAGGGCGCTTTTGTTTGCATGAAGACATGACTTCAACAAAGCAGGCCTGCTTCCCAATTATGGAAGCGAGATGCCCTTAAAGAACTCTGCAAAAAACCAATCGCCTATTCAGGGTTCCAAAAATGGAAGCTAGACACATTTTGTACGTGGAAGCTTGCTGCCCTGCTTGCGGTCGCAGGGGCTACGACGAGCCAAGACACAAGAGGTGACGCCAGTTTTTATCGTCTCGTGACATTAGAAAGAGAGTTCAAAGCAGTCAACCTCTTTTTACTCCTATAATTTCATGTAGATTACCAGTATACCTCGGAAGCAATTCCTACTGCTAGAGAGCCGATCAAAATAATCAATGTTTATAGAACGAACACGACTGTTCGATGAACAGTACAAACTGTAAAAGCTCACAACCACGTAGTAGTGAGTATAGAGAAAAAAAATCTCAGGAAAAGATGTACCAGGAGTATCAACAGCAGAGGAAATCATAATTAAATCAAAAGCACATGCAACTACAGTGAACAAAAGCAGGCCACAACTGCAGTGACGATGTGACCTGTATAAGCAAGATTCTTCTCCACCCAGAGCGAGCGATAATTGCAATTCCGAAACATGCGAAGAAAAGATGGACGCACCATGGAGGATAGATAGCACGAGAAACCAGTTAAGGAGCCAAACCAAGCAAGCAAGGTAGCCAGAGCTCACCTCTTCCATCATGGAGATGAGCCTAGTCTTCTTCCACTGCTGCTCGGCGCCGGAGATTGGATCAGAATCCGAGGCGGCGCGGTGGCCGCCGTCCATGTCGTGATCGATGGCTTCCATCGGATCAGCGTCGAGCAGGCCCTCGTCGGAGGTGCTGCGGTCCACGTGCGAGGCGGCGCCCCCGACGTCGCAGATCTCCTCGAGCAGCTTCTCCGCAGGGACGAGGAAACGGGAGCGCCCCAGCACGGCCGCGTAGCCAGTGAAGGGCCCGAAGGGCGCCGAGGGCGCGGCGTGCGCCCTCCTCGGCTGCGGGGGCGCGGGGGGTGGGTTCGAGGACGAGGACGAGAGCGAGAGCGCGAAGTTCTGCGTCGGGATCTGCGACGAGAGCGGCGGGGCGAGGCCGGGCGCCACGACGAGCTGTGCCTGCGCCAGCGTGGGTCTGTGCGGGGAGTAGGACGACGTGGAGGAGGACGCGTAGGAGTAGAACGCCGGTGGCGGCCAGGCTACCCCGGCGTGCTGCTGCTGCTGCGGGGCGGAAGCGGAGTAGTGCGGTGGCGAGTCGTCCGGGGGGAACCGCAGCTTCTCGCGGCGGCTGTGCTGCGGCACGTGGTAGAGCTGCTGCGCGGCGACGTGCTGTGCATGGTGGTGCAGCATGAAGTCGCCGTGGCCGTGGCAGTGGGGCTCGGCGCCTCTCCCCGTGCCGCCGCCGTACCCGCCCGCGGCGGATGACATGGCGACCGCGATCAAGCGCGCGGCCTCTCCCCTCCCCGCGTCTCGGGGATCGCGCGCGCTAGCAGCGACGCGATCGGGAGCACCTGGCGGCCTGGAGAGAGCGCGAGGAAGCGTGGACGTGGGCTGAGTGGACGGAGGCAGTAGAGCTGCTACTAGAGGGGAAACGGCTCCGCACTTTCCGAGCGGCTTTCCGAGCGGCGGTCCTGCCTGCGCTCTGCTGCTGCCCTGCCCTGGCCTGCCGCCGCTGTAGCCTTCTCGCCTCCTCCCCCGCCTTTTTATTCCGCCCCCCCTTTCATCCTCTCATCCCAGCTTTGCCCCGGCCCGTCCCGGACTCAACTGCTGGCTGCTGCCGCTGTCGTTGGGTTCCGGGTGCCTTTCTTTCGGCAAAAACCGAGACCGGGGAACTGAACTCTGAACTCGACCTCGAAGAGGCCGCGGGCGGAGGTGAAAAAGAAGAGGCTAGCTAGCTGCGGCCTGTGCCCGCTGGAGGGGTAGGGCGATGGTGAGGAGACCGCCGTGAAAGCGAAAGGAGAAAAGGGCAGAGAGACCAGACCAGGTGAGGTGAGGCCGTGAGGGGCGTGAGGCGCTAGCGCGACGGCAGCAGGGGTGCAGCGGGACGGGTAAAAATAGACAGCGCCCGCCCGCCTCTTGGCGATTGGCGTCGCGTCCAGGAGGTGGGCGCCCGTGCTAGCGCCAGTACGTGCCCGCGCCTCTCCGTCCTCCCCCCTACGGCTGGTTAATCCGTCCGCCTCTTGGCGCGGCCTGCGGGCGGGAGACGGTTTTACCGCGGCCTGCTTGGAGGAGGCGGAGGAGGGTAGTGCGGTGCCTGGCTGGGGATGGTACTCGGTTTTACCACTCCGGGGAGCAGGAGTACAAGACATTCCATGTGCAGCGCGATTAAGTCGGGGCATTTACATAACCTTAATTACGCTTTGTTTAGTTTCTTTACTAAAATTTACTCCCAATCATGTTTGACACATGCATGAATATTAAATATAAACTAAAAAATAACTAATTACACATATTGCGACTAATTTGCGAGACGAATTTTTTAAACCTAATTAGTCCATGATTTGAAGATGTGGTGCTACGGTTAATATATGTTAATAATATATTAATTAGACTTAATAAATTCATTCTTTGAATTACCGAGGACTTCTGTAATCTATTTTATTACTAGGATCGAACACATCTTGACGTGACAGCCGATGTAACGTGGATTTAAACACAACCTACTCGTAATATGTACTCGAACGAACTGGCCTCCACAGTGGAATTCCCAGTCCCAGTCCCAGTCCCAGCCCCAGCTACTGCTGCTGCACGACCGCTTCTGCTGCGTGTCCTAAGGCCGTTTGGTGCAGCTCGTGATGGCTTCGGCTCCCTCTGCCACGGCACTGTACCGCCCTGTAGGATCCTGTGCATCGCTGTAGCTCTGCGAAAATCAGCTCCGGCTCCGGCTGTGAACACCTGCAATCCAAGAGGAGCCGTCGGAGCTGCGTTTGTGTGGCTCCGCCGGCTCCGCCACAGTGCTTGTACAGGACTGCTACAGGGAGAGAGCCGGAGCTGGGCCGAGTCTGGCCAAACGGACCCTAAATGCTTAAATCAATGCGCCCGTGCGCCACACACCGCTGCGTGTACTACTAAAAAGGACAGTAAGCCCTTTTTAGTTGGACCCCAAATTCAAAAAAAAAATGCTACAGTATTTGTCACATCGAATATTTGCGGTTCGTGCATAGAGTATTAAATGTAGATGAAAAAAAACTAATTACACAGTTTGATGGGAAATTGCGAGACGAATGTTTTGAGCCTAATTAGTCCATGTTTGAACACTAATTGCTAAATAAAAACGAAGGTGCTACAGTAGCCCTAAATTTCAACTTCCTGGAACTAAACAAGGGCTAAGTCTTAAAAATAGAATGACCAGTTTTCACCGAGGTCTTGTTTAGATTGCAAGTTTTTTCACTTTTTCTTCATTACATTAAATTTTTAGACACATACATAGAGTATTAAATGTAGATAAAAAAATAACTAATTACACAGTTTGATTGTAAATTACGAGACGAATCTTTTGAGCCTAGTTAAGCCATGATTAGATAATAATTATCAAAAAGTACTATAATACCAAATATTGATTCCTAACCCAATCTAAACATGGCCCAAACCAGGCGCGGATCAACCAAACTGTTCCCTTTGGCTGCTTGCGTGGGAGTCCTACTACCAGTACATATGGGTGGTGCGCTTTCCCCAGCCAAGCCAGCCTGCGGTGCCTAGCCAGCTTTTTCTTGTGTCTTGCCTTGCCTCCCCCCCCCCTGACGCGAGCTGCGAGCTGCGAGCTGCGAGCTGCGAGCAGCGAGCAGCAGCAGGAGCGGGCACTGTAGTAGCGGTAGGAGAGGAGAGGGAAGCAGCAAATCATACGCGCGCTTCAATGCGCTGCCTGCCCTCTCAACCAAACCAAACACGTCCATTGGGCAGAGGGCGCCCGGGCCCACGAGTCACTCATAATCGGGCCCGCGAACAAGCAATCAACACCCCCTGGGCCCCGCCCGGGACAAGACCGAACATTGCACTGCCTCTTGGCCCGCGGTCCAGTCGCCCTCCCTCCGCGTCCCCCGCCCTACTACTCTACAACTACAAGGCCGAGACGCCGACCGGCGGGACCCTGTCCACTGGTCCCGGGATACGGGGGGCTGGATCTCTCTGCCGTTCCCACCACGGCCACCGTAGACGACGTCAGCTGCGACGCGTCGCTCAGGGATAGGAATATCCGGCGTGATTAGGGCGCCGCTGCGTAATGGCGCAGGGTTTGACGGCGTGATGCGCTGCTGTGCCTGTGCGGCAGGGCAGGCCAGGGCTATCAGGCTATGCTAGGCCTGGGAATATATGATGACGTGGCTGTTCCTCTTGCCCATTACTGCCCTGGTTTAGTTGGGTGAATTTGGATTTTAGGGTTACTGTAGCACGTTCATTTTTATTTGGTAAATAGTGTTCAAACATGGACTAATTATGCTCAAAACGTTCGTCTCGTAATTTCCCACCAAACTGTGCAATTATTTTTTATTTTCGTCTAACTTTAATGCTCCATGCATAGGCCGCAAACATTCAATGTGACAGGTACTATAACAACTTTTTGGACTTTGGGGTCCAACTAAACAAGGCGTAACACATCCACTGATCCACCCGTCCGTCCGTTCCGTATGATGCAGATTGCTGAGGCCACAGGGCAGAGGGTGATGGGAGTGCAAGACCACAGTACTGACTGACTGAAGGAACCACTCCTCCGGGCCGGGCCGGGCCGGGGGTTATGCTTTTGTTGCTACTGTAGGAGCCTCGTAGAGCCAGGGGGTAGACTGGATAGCTATAGCATCTGCGTGACAAACAGGTGAAAGTGGGAACACCGGGCGCACACAGTAGAAGCACAGTGACCCTTTGGCGCGGGGCCCCGCACGGCAGTATCGCTTTAGGCCACTGTGCAATCTTTCGTGTGAGCACATGCACAGGTAAAAGTAAAGTTGTACTGCCCAACAGTACGTACTACTAGACTCGCACGTTTTCGCTGGCTGGCGCTGCTGTCACGTGGGGAGCGAGAGTGAGCGAGGTGAAAGTTCAGATGCCGAGGTGAAACTTGAGCTCTTTTGGTTTTGGCAGAGTACTCGTCTTCCCCCGCCTTGGGCGTAGCCTTTTCTCTTTCTTCGTTTAATACACTAGGGGTGGTTTTGTTAATATATTTACTCCCTCTGTCTCCGAAAAAAAATTAATCTTACTTTTTAGTTAAGATTATTGTATATGTAAAATTACATAATTACCCTTCTCTTCCATTGTAAAAATGGTTGCTTTCTGGAGTGTTCTCCTCGTGGATGGATAGAGTATGTCTATTTTTAGACCTGTAGTGGTTTTTTTAATAGGTGGGTCGCATTTATGATTCTGATTCTAAAAGATGAACTCTAAGTTTACAAATACATTTCTTTTGGAACAAGATTTGAAATGTAGGATTACATTTTTTTTAGACAGACAGAGTATATAACAGTGTAAAAAGAAGCCATATATTCATACAGAAGAATTATAAATTAGAAGATTAATTAAAAAAATACTCTGTTAGATTTTATAATGATCTAGTAGATTAAATTAAATCAAAGAATCTGTACCTAATACAACTAATACATAACAAATTAAAAATAGCACTTTGGTTTCTGTGAGTTTACGGGAAAAAATCGAAATAAACAAAGAGTCCATATAAAATACAATTATTGGAGACAAAATATTCCCAAAAAAGGGAGACAGAATTAGAATAAAAGACTATGAAAACATTAGTTGTTTGGCCTCCAAATGAATTAGAGAGAATAAGTGTCTAAATAAAAATGCAATATAAACAATGATTAGAAGTATCTAAATTTATTATTGAAAATTGACAAATAGTAGTTTGGCTTGCATATGTTGGAAAAGATACATAAATAAAAAGTCGGTGTATTGCTATAAGTAAAGTTAAAAGTTGTTGTTTTCCACTATTGTCGGTGTTTCGGACCAGGGGGTCCTCAACCAACTAGTGAATTTGTTCTGCGTGCTCCCGATCCGGACGGTGATGCAAAGAGACACAAGGTTTATACTGGTTCAGCCAATCAAGGCCCTACTTCTAGTCTGAGAGATCGATCTTGTATTCCTTACACCGAGGTGTTCGTAGTAGGGGGTTACAAGCTAAAGGAGAGAAGGAGCTGGTCCTAGGTCTCGGCAGGGTGCCGTGCGGGCCGCTTGAGACGTTGCTCTCTGGCGGCAGGAGTGTGCGTGTGTGTTACAAGGTGTCCCCCTCTTCCCTAAAACAACCCAGGTCCTCTCCTTTTATAGCATGAAGGGAGGACTTGGGCGGTACATGTCTTGACTATATGGCGTCGTGTGAGCAGGCGGCGTGTCCGACCTGTGCTTTGTTCTGCGGCGTGGCCGTCGGAGTGGTCCATCCTTGGAGTCTTTGGGGCGGCGTGGTCATCCCATCGTCGAGTCTGTGCCGTGGG